GTCAGTACAAATTAATTTAAGTTTGCTTTTTCAGCGCTTTCGCTTATAAAATACAAACATGTTATACGGACTGACACGTGTAACATAGGAATATAGTAAAAAAAAGCTCGACATAATCGAAATAGATTAACACATCTAAAGTGTTCAATATATAAATTAATAATTTACAAACTTAATACTAAATGTTTTATATAACACAATTCATTTTCCAAACTTATAAGGTTAATACACGGCATGTGCATTAAACAAAATTAAAGAAAATGATCACCCTTTAAAAAAATTCTAGTTGTTTCTGATAATTAATACTTTTAGTCATTTAGTTTTAATTACTTCCCTTGAAGTACAAAAAAAACACAATTAGTTCCCTTTTAAAAATATTACATCAGGGGGGTGGGGAAATACGTTCTATTACTTTTTTTATGTTGGGAAAAATATTTACATAATTTAGCATGGATTGATAAAGTGCAATGTAGTACGTAAAACAAAAATCAATTTGCCTTTTATTTAATGTATGCACTGAACGTACTGTTTACTAAATATAATTTGTAATACATAACAGTTTAGAAGCCGTTCCTCTATGTTTACTTCTATCTTTCCGTTTGCGGATAAACTTGGGTATTATAGTCGTTCACTTTATTGTATCATGAACACCTAACGGCGACCGGGCAGGGTGCTATTTGGCGTCCCGGGCCTATGATGCCTAAGTTTGTTTTAAACAGTGCGATAAAATATGGATTAGAAGGGTTACTATAATCGAAAACTAAATCGAATCCAGTGCGTCCTCCTGTGCCCAAACAGAAAGCTATGTGGCGCCCGGGACTTTCTTCAGCGCTATTGCTACCACGTTCGTTTAATTGAGTGCAATAGAATATTGATAAGTTGGGGTAATAAAAGTATTTGCTAAGTTGAATCAGGATGTTCCGCCGGCGCCCCGGTAGGTAGAAATTTTGGCGCTAAACTGTGAGCACTTGCGTTTATATTTGTATTTTAGTTTGTATTTATAGTCTGCGTTATTGTTTGCGTTTGCGTTAGCGTTTGTATTTGTATTTGTGTATTTGTTTTTGTTTGGTTTTCTGTTTCTGTTTCTGTTTGAGGTTTTGTTTGGGTTAGTGTTTGTATTTGCGTTATGTTTGTATTTGTGTTTGTGCTTTGGAATTAGTTGGTTGTGGTTAGGATTAATTCGAAAAGTAATATATTTCATAAATCTGGGTATTGCCAGATATATGCCGCTTAATAAACAAGCAAATCATGATCCTTTACAGATAGGTAATTTTACAGAGGCCTGTGTTGGGCTTGGCCGGGACGGCTAGTATTTTACAAAGTGTGAAATAAGTACAAAAAGACTTCCGGTTGAATTAAGGCTTTATATAATTAAACAAAAAATTACTAGCAATATAAAATAATTTAGCTAACAGTTTTAATTTTAATTTGAGCTAAATTGGATTAGTAGTCAGTGTGTTGAGATGATAAAGGATGTTATGTGACTAAATATAAATAATTGATTCCGCTATACCCCATTGAGCGCTATTGTGTATTTTATCACAGAAAACAATTGTTGTGATTTTCATTGTTTTACTTTCCCAGGCTATGCCGGAAAAATATGGTTCCCAAACAGCTTTAATATTTTTTAAATGTAGCTATAATTTTATTGTTTACCATAATTTTTTAAAGATTTAAATAACTAACCAGCATGATTACAAAGACGTTCAAGCCTATTGATGAAAATGAACCCATGATAAGTTGATTTATGGGGTTGTATATTTGTATAAGAAAAATTGTCAGGAATTAATTTCAAGAATTAACTAAAATGGTAATTAAAGAAATGCGAGCTGACCCGCGCCGTCAGCATACGCCGCTATTTAGTTGTTTTATTTTCTACTTTTCAGTAATTCATAATTTTTTATTTCAACACTACCAATACTGCGACAGAAAATATTTTGCTTTAAAACACTACTGCAGCTCGCGAAGGGCAATTATCCTAACCCTCCCTTCCTCCACCGCCCTCATCCACCCTTGTGAAAGCAGTTTACATACGACAATAAAAAGATCAAGCCGAACTTATTGTTACCTCCCCTTAGTTTAAGATAGTTTAAAAACGAAATTATCTGCCCCTTATAGCTTTCACGTATTCGAACCGGCTCTACAATTGTAAACATTTGGCGTGAGCCACATCTCACCAGACGGGTGCGGGTGGGATTGCTAGCGATCTGCCTACAAAGCGAGGTAGGGGGCGATTCCGCGTGCTTAAGTTGTGTCCCGAAAAGCCCCTCCATGAAGAAGAAAAATGTCAAGGTAGATAATTACTTCTCTTATGTGTAGAAAATCAATGTAAACATTCAAAGTTCTAAAATACCTTTCTAATCGTCAATTACAGCTACCACTTTCATGATCATTTCACTGTCCACATTTTTATCTAGCTTTTGATATTCGTAATACAGAAGTGACATAATAGACACATGTTTTGATAAATAAAGTAATTTGACTTTTTGAGAAAATCTTTTTCGTTAATCTTCACTTGTAATAGAATCTAGTTTTTGTTTTGAGACAAGTGATACAATAGGAAAATGATAATGCATTAAGCAATGTACTCGTGTTTAAAGAAATGTAATTTTTGTTATCATCATTTTTTTTTCTTCTTTTCTTAGCGCACATATACAAAAATGCCAATGGAAACAAATTTAAATGATACAGAGCTCATGATGAATCATACGGTGGATGTAGAGTATGCATAAAATATGTTTTTATTTCAAATCTTAACCATGCTAATAACAAAACTGATTCCATATATAAATATAACAAGAGCCATACGATTTGTACCTGGCTTATCTAGCAAATTATAACTCATAATCTTAAAATAGATTTTAAAAATAATTTACGGTTTAGCAAATGAATTTTCCAAATCAGCATTTTTAAATTTATTTTTAAAATTTTTAAATTTATTCCTAAAAACAAAATTTAATCGGTGTCTAAGTTACCCTTCCGATTTCATTTAATTTTCATTTTCAGCGTTCTAAAACTTGATTTAAAGAAAAAGGTTTACATCATCGACGACATTAAATATTTTGGTATGCATGCATTTGAAATTAAAATTTCGATTAATGCAATAGTAGAATATATTTGTAGATTGTAGGCTACTTTTATTCGATTTGAAAACTAAGTATAATACCAAGATTGTCGAAAACTGGGTGAAAAATTGCAATTTAAAAATTTACTAATAAATAACATTTAATATCTACAATTTATTATTACAATAAATGTATTTATCATATAAGTTCGTTATTATTTTTCATGACTACACGTGAGTATCCTAAAATAGAAATGCTACATTATTATACATAATTTTAATACATATATTTACTTTTATTTTTTAAAAAAACATACATTTTTTAATATAAAGGTTTTAATTGATTTTTTGCAACTTAAACTATCTACTTTACAGATGCTGACCATGACGTAAGTGATCACAATATGTTGTTTTGTAGACCTTAATTATAAAATGTAATATTGTCACTTTTTATCAGTTATTTGAATAAAAATTCAAATTCACATTCATATAACCAAAATACATTATATTAACATAAATATACAAATTACGTCTAAACTTTTGTAGTTGTATACTTTTGTAGTTCTATTGATCTACTAGGCATGCTGCCCAGCTTCGCTTAGGCTTTCAAAAACATTGAGAATTTGAATGCTTAATTAATTCGCCCGAGGGTCGGTCTACGACCTCAGGAGTTATAAAGAGGTTCATACGTGGACAATTTTTTTTTCGATTTATAGCTCATATAAGGCGCCGGTCAGTTGAGGTCTGTTTTGACCCCCTCATCGTAGACCCTTAAGCCAACCGGCATCGGCCCCCGTGTTCTGTCGCCCCAAGGCAAGATCCTGCCAAATTTGAAGCGCCTGCGGCGCCGGGAAGTGCCCGATGTCGGGCACCCGAAAACGTTTCTTCATATATTATAGAGATTAGCAAATTGCATAGATAAACAAAGATTTCCAAAGTAGTTCCTTTCTTTATAGTCTAAAATAGGAAGATTCACATATAAAAAAAATTAGGTTTGACTTGGTGTGTCTCTTGGTGCGTTCTTGTCCCAAGTTTAAATACTTTTCCGGTTGCATAAATAATACTGTTTCTCTACATTCGAATACGCCTTTATTTTTTATTTTTCTTCTTTAAATAACATTGTGGTTATACATTTAAAACATCTAACATATTATTTTCAACAAAAGTCCGTATAAAAATCTCCATATAGCGCTGTAGTTTCTGACGTGATGTCCGGCGAAAATATTTTGCGGACAGAGAGAGAGAGGTGCGAACGTGGCCTTTTATATATTAGGATACTCTTTAACTTTGATAGTTCCTTAATTCTAATATAAACATTTATACTTACAAAAATTCACGAATATACGAATACAATTATTCTTTTATATTATTATGTCCTTATGTACATATAAAAATGTATCTATGTACTAATATATTAATATGTACAGATAAGTACTATTCTATATATATATATATATATATATATATATATATATATATATATATATATATATATATATATATATAATTTATATATATATATATATATATATATATATATATATATATATATATATATATATATATATATATATATATATATATAATTTATATATATATATATATATATATATATATATATATATATATATATATATATATATATATATATATTTATACATATATGTATATGCTTAGATGATTATATGATGAAATGCCAAAAGATAAAAGCTATTATATACATATAAATAAATGTTTAGCATTATTTACACATATATTTATATATATATATATTTATATACATACACACTTATGTATATTTATAAATATATATATATATATATATATATATATATATATATATATATATATATATATATATATGTATGTATACCTGTATAATTGTATATGGATATATGTTTACATGGTTTAAACTTTAATACTTAGACAATTAAGTCACCATTTTTACTTCAGGTTAGACCACCTCAGGTTTTATCTGTTTGGAAAGCAGGAAGGGTTATATTATTCTGCAAAAAAAGGAACACAACTAGGTATTTTGTAATTTGATTAATGCGCTTATTTATTTAAAAATTTAAAAAAATAAATTGCCAGTAATGACAAAACTTAATTTATGCAGTCTTATCTGTGCACTAGTTCGAGCTATCACCCGATCAAAAAAATCTTTAACTCAATAGTATTTGAGACACATTTAAATACACGATCACAGCATTACCAAGCTAAATCATTTCGAGTGTAATATATGACTAAAATGAATGTATATATTTTTTTCACGCATTTTTTTCTTTCTCATATGCAGAGTATAGAGAAAGTATTGAAATCGTGCAAAAAATATAGAGATGTTTGCAAATCTCGACGATTTACAACTCCCTGAGTCGGAAAAACCTAGTTTTGCAATATTGTCCGTATAACTGTCTTTGGATGTGTATGTGTATGTGAGCATGTGTGTCTGTGAACACGATAACTTGAATACCGTTATAGCTAGGTTGATGAAATTTCATTTACAAGTATTATGTCATATTCGTAGTTCTATATCAACTTTTCAGCGATTTCTGATAAACGGAAGTGGAAATTATTCTACTTTTAATTTTTCAAAAGCCTAAAACATGAGACCGATAAATGTAATTTCATATGTAAGTAAAATATCTAATTATCTGTCTTCTGTAAAATTATGAGTAATATCCGTTGACTGGAAGTAGTAATTTACGATTTCTCAAAAAAGGCATGTGAATTTATAAAGTACTATTAATATTCCGCACTACTATATACAGATTTTTTGGCGTTCACTTATTGTGTAATTCTTGTTTCTACGAGATTCTATTGTATTTTTAAATGTTTCAGTAATTAAAAATGGATTTAAAATCATGTCTATAACCCGAGGTGCCATCCCCCTTAGTGTTATATAAGAATATTCCAGAAAATTTAGGAGAGATTACTCCTGGTTTATTATCTTAATAAAAAGTTGGGTGAGACTATTTTTTTAAAATGCTATTCAAAAGTGTACATTTTTAAAAAATTTATAAATGTATTTATCAATTGTTAATTTATCAATTTAAAATTTTTAAGATACTAAACTTAATAAAGGAAACCTTAAGAAATGACAATGAGCAACAATTTAATACAACTGGAAGGATTGACACATTTTGTTATCCATGAAAATAGTTGCCAAACATCTTCTGACAATTAATTTAGTTTGCTACTAACATATGGTATTTGTTGCAATGGATTAAGTTAAATTATGCTAATTTGATTTCGAATTTAGTATAGTCTACCTATAAAATATAAAATATGTCTGGCCGATTAAAAGTATGAAAAACTTCTCTTTGGGGGCTTTATAATTCATTTTCTTTAAAATATGGATCTAAGTTTAGCCCAAAAGTGCCTATCTTCAAAAAATTATATAGAACTGCATCAGCCTGATTATAAACCATAAAGGCCTATATATATATATATATATATATATATATATATATATATATATATATATAAACACATATATACTTATAGCATCTTTTTTCTTAAGGTATGGGGCGGGTGACGCCATTTGGTGCCCCACACGGCCTAGCAATGCAAATTTTAGTATTAGGCCTACATTGTTCATTTTAACGCATTATATAAACTAGTATACCGCTAGTATATTATATACTGTTTTAAAAATAGATATAGGCCTACTTCAACTTACTACTTAAGGATCAAAGAATACGCCTAAGCCTTACTTTCACTTTATTTGTACTGGTGCTAATTATTTAATCATATGTGTTGTACAAGTAAGTAGTGGTTAAGTACCCTTTCAAACCTGACGGTCTACAGGGCAAGTGAAATAGAATTCACCTGTTTCTGTTACCTCGGCATATTCAGGGATAGTGTGGTCAGCACTATGCACAGCCGCCTCTACTTACCCTAACGCGAGTTAGGTACCCATCAGAGCTGGGTGGACTGAGGGACGGTCTACTGACTTGAACCAGGATTCGAACTCGAGACTTACGAGTGACTTTGATTCTAATAATGTTTGATTTGTGTTTTTTGCCTTTTTTCTCTCCTTATAAAAGATCACATAGAATATCACATCTCTATTAATAATGTATTTGCATTGCTCACTAAAATTGGTCAAGTATTGACATAACGACTAAAATAAGTATTTATAAATAAAGGCTAATCTTTTAATAACTTACCGCGTATGTGTATAAAATGATAAATAAATTCAAATTGGCATTTTATTGTAAAATATGTATGCTATGTACAGTTTAAGATCGGAAATTGCATTTAATTTGCAGCTAATCTAAGGGATGCATTAAACTATAGTTAGCAAAGAAAATATCTGCAACTAAATTCACACTAAGTGATGTACAATTTCTTTATTTCAGAGTTGATAATCTCAGGAACGTGAAAAAATTTCAATTGAACAATCTTAAAGTTCATCTATGTATGTTATTGCAATCATATATTTTGCATTTATGTTATGTAGTTTAACATAATTTACACTTTAAATACATTTTCTAAGGGGTCTTCCATAAATGACGTCACGCTTTTTTGAAGATTTTTACCTCTCCCCCTCCCCTCCGTCACGCGTCGTCACAAAAAGCCAGACCCCCACCCTAAAATGACGTCACACCTCAACCTACAACCCCCCTCAAAATTGCAGTTGATTTTTTTTAAAACATCGATATTTTTCCAAAATCTTGTCTAAACTATTACAATTTATTAAAACATTTATCTAAAATGCGAAATAACGTCTAAAATTCGTTTTCTAACATTGCTTTTTTATAATGCAAAAATGTGACGTCGCAACAGCTGAACCCCCCCCCCCCCTTTCTCCCCCTCATCACACATCGTCACAAAATTACGGACCCCCCCCTCCCCCCTACAAGTGTGACGTCATTTATGGATGACCTCTAACAACATATACCCAATTTTTAAATGGTACATTTTTACTTTTAATTATAAATTATACAGCTATGCATGAAGAATTCATGGATGCCAAGAACTTATAACAGTATGTTAACGTAAGTATATTTTAACTATGTTATATTTAAAGCACAATAATTGTTTTCAGTAACGTTAATCCCGGTTAATATTTTATTGGTTTCTTTGCGATTTACCAAATGTGATCAACTCGTTTTTTCAGGAAGCTCCATACATCGTCTTACCTATTTCTTTGATCACATTTTGAGAAAGTGAATTCCTGTCTGCAAAATAAGCGCCTTAGTAAACTTAGTAAACGGAAATTATAAAATAACTTCTCAAGCTCATTATTTATTACCTTTTCTGATTATGCAAGCCCACTTTAATATATAAAGAAAGTCTTAGATATATAGCCTACTTATTATTTTCTCACAAATGTTTCACTCATATACACAGTATTTAAAGCCTTTGTTTTAATAATAGCAAACTTGTCTTAAATAAAAATTATGAATGAACTTTATTTAGCTATAAAAAATGAATAAGTAAATTTTATCTTTTATTTTATTTATTTTGATTATAGGTATACTATATGTTTACAAAGTAGTTATTTTGTCATATGCCTATAGTAGGATAACTTTCTAACAATATGTGTACGGCAGTGTACGCCATTTAGCTTTTGGACAAATGTCTCATCGCTGTATTTTTAGGAGTTCATAAATGTTTCCTTAATAAGCCGCTAGATCATTTCTTTTTTAATAGAATATACAGTCATATAGAACAACTTTTCTGTAAGATGTTTTCGTCTATCCTATATCTGTTTCTTTATATTTAATAAAATACATTTGAATGTACTGAATGTTTTTTTTTTGGCTTACAATTCATGTTTACACAGTGGTTTAAAAATATAATTGTGTTTCACATAAAAATGTATCAGCTGTGTTGGATGAATAATCCCCTCGTTTTATAAAGCGGTGATTCACAAAAATAAACCGGGAGTGATCTCCCCCTAAACTTTCTCGAATATCTATTTATATAATTCTCTTCTGGGAGCCGTTATAAAACAAGCTGCAAGTGCGCCTTACAATCCCCTCTCTTCTTCATCCTTTACTAGGTATAAATCAACCTCCCCCACCCCCACATGGCCTGGTGAGCTGTGGTTCACGCTTAATGTTTATATTATTAGAGACCGTCCAAATAAATGACCACATGGCCTCAACCTGCACAAATTACGCCTACCCCTCACTGACATTCTTCCGATGTGTCATTCATCTTCCGTCTTTGATGCTCAGGCTGAACACTCCCACGCTATAGAACACTACGACAAACTCAACACAGAACAAAAGCACGCTGTTGACACTGTTTTGGACGCTGCATACACAGACTCCCGTCCGCGACAAACTTGCTTCTTCTTAGATGGTCCGACAGGAACAGGGAAAACCTTTGTCTATAAAACTCTGATCCATACCATCAGAGCCAGGGGACTTTCCTGTAACAGTTGCATCTACAGGAATAGCAGCAACATAGTTACCGGGTGGACGTACTGCACATTCGGTATTTAAAATCCCGTTGAAGCTCACTCATACTTCCACATGCAATATCAAACATATTTCGCAACACGCCGAACATATTCTGCAATCCAAATTCATTATATGAGACATGCATACGTATTTCAAGTAGTCGACAGATTGTTACGAGACCTCACATGTGAGACGCACCCATTTGGAGGGAAAACAATTCTATTTGGTGGAGATTTCCGACAAATACTCCCCGTCATTCCGCGTGGCTCCCGAGCACTCACTGTCGCCAGTTACGTGTAAATGCAGTGTGGACACGTTGTTTAAACTACGTATAAATGTACCGTGGGAACGAAGATTAAACTCATTTTATAAATGTAGTGTGCATACGTAACCTTGATTAAACTTAACAAAAATAAAAGTAGTGTGGGGACATAGTGTGAGTTTTTGTTTCATATTTTGTAAAATATTTACCTAGTTGTTTCATGCAATACGTTTCCTGGGCCTAATCAAATTGTATTTTTAAAGATTATTTGTCGTAGTACACATAACTCTTATTGATCAAAATTTTAACTACTATATTTAAGTAGCACAAAGTATCGAATGATATTCCGTGTTAAAAAACCCTATTAAAAAACCACGTGATCTAATTGTGTCCTAGCTTGTACAGCCATTCATACTTTTCACACCTCTAATCCTATTAAATGTAAGCTAACGACAACGTCGATACTAACATTTTTTAAAGATTGGTATCGATTTTCATAAAATTCGATCCAGATTTGGTGAGTGAAATAAAGAAAAAAAACTGACATACAAGTTGTATCAAGCCCGGCTTCTAAAGAGAAATTGTTATATAATAAAAATGCATATATAACTAATACACCAAGTTGTGGAAAACAATAACTTGCTTTATTTTTAATGGCTTTTTTTTATAACACAGAGAACGTGGCTAATATAATAGTTCGTGGCTTCGCAAATATTGGAATATTAATTTAGCTCACTGTCCATGTCAGTTTAAGCAGAATTTTCGACAATGATAGATCGTGGATGATAATGTGAGAATATCTCTTGTTAAAAAAAATAAACATCTAAATTTAAAAACTACTATATCCAAGTACCATATACTCTAATAAATGTGGAGACAACAAGATAAAGGAAATCTTAACAATAGCTGGATAAGATGGCGATAGAAGGTGAATTCATTTCACGGTTTGCTGATTTGCTGATATCGTAGATTGAGAACTTAAAAGGGGCAAATGACTAAGCTTGAGAGATCACAAGCTAATAGATGAATTTGAACACAAATATTTTAGTCTTAGCCTATTTAGTGTCGACTTCATTTTTAATGAGTAACTAAAAATGAAAAGAAATTATCACAAGACCATTTTCATGACAAATTATTTTACTTTATTCACGAATCATAAGAAAATTTAAAAAAAAATGTATTAAAACGTAAAAAAGTAAATTTCGTATTGTATAACTTTGCTAAAGCTAGATGGTGGTATAACTACAGATAAAAGTCTGGACGCTTGCTAATGGAGAATATATTTCCTTTAATGGGAAGTTCATTGACAGGTTTTAGCTCTACAACATACAACCTGTCTTCAATGTTTGTCATTATGTGTGTTTTGTATTTCCCCTCCCAGCTCTCGTTTGGAGCTAACAAGCGTTACAGTAGGTAATGACACCAGGGCATAGTTGATTTTACAGTTTTAACTTACAAAAAAAAAATACACTATGTGCTGATAGATACAGCATAAGGAATAGAATAACTGGAGTAACACATAGGCTACAAATTTATAATTACACATAGACAATTTTTACTGGAATTGCCCACATACACCGTTCACAATGGCTGTAGTGGTTTAGCAGCATTGAATCATCAATCATTAATTTTTTTGTTTTTTTCTAATATCCTTACCTATTACTTTTCTAATTTGCCTTATCTTTGAACAGTTATTAGTCTTGTAAAATAGCAAGGTAAAAGAGCAACGTTAAATAAACTGCATTTACTTCCCTTAGATTGTTTACATGTTGTTACATTTAAATGTTATATTTCTGACTTTTCTGTGACGCGACCATTTTAGTAGGAACCAATTTGAAAACAACTAAATAGTGAGTGACCAGATAATAGCATAACTTTGCTTGCTTGGAAAACCTTTAAATACAATTTATTTCCTTGTTGTAGTTCTAGAACGGTTGCACACGACCCAGATGTGACGTCATCAGCAACACTAACACTAGTTATATAATGTTCTATGTATTTGCCACCATGATGAACAGAGGCCTTGTCTGTACAATCTGGAAGCGTTGTTGGCTCTTGTGTTTCTGATGCCTTGGTTTTTGCTGACAAACTTTTGCGGTATAGACCGATTGTTGCTTTACATTTGACCAAAGCATCTATATTAAAACTGAGACAGTAAAGTCCGTCTGTGGGTACTGTAAACTCTCCAGTCGTTGGTTGAAAACATCCGCCAGTATTACATAACACTTTACTAAACTTTATAATGACATCTCCAGTGGTTAGAAAAAAATAATGGTTTATGCTGGCACTAAACGCCACACCAGATCGACAACAACTTGTTTCTGTAGGAAATAAAGAGACGATCACGTTACCACTTGTTCATTGATAACATATGACCTTATCAAGTTAAGTGAAGGCTTAAGGTACTCTATAATGCTTGTGTGTAAAGACTCGCATGATTACATTCGTACATTTAAACAAAAATGTGATATAATACATTTTTACCTGCATAATTTAGTTCTCTAGTGTAAAAAACATAAATAAATATATTTTGCCTATTTACTCACCTAATGCATTGAGCTTTTCAGTTAACTGAAAAAGTAGATGAAATAAATATAAAGACCCACTCTTATTGTATTATCAAGTTAGAAGAATTGCCAAGCGTGTCATATGGAAAATTGATTATAGTGTTGGAACCTAATAAAAATATCAAACAGACATTTTATCTTTAAAGCTATAGCCGACAGAAAATCAGAAAATTTAGTCGCCATGATAATAATTAAATAAATCAGTGACGTCACAAAACAGGTGAAACGTTTAAATTTTTCGTGAACATAAATACTTGTTTCGAACTTATATAATTATAGGTGTGTATCTACAAATGAATATATCAATACATAAATAGCGTCTTTAAATATTTTTTTTTAAGATTGGTCTCTACAAAAATACCTATTTTACAGTTCTACACATAGTACTAATGCCCTCATTTAACGGAGCAGACAAACTATTAAATAAATATACTCACGTATAAACATGTATATACAGTTATTTTATTTTTATTGCATTATTCACATTATTACACCTTTTTTACTTTCTCGTCTACAGAGTATAAAGGAGTATTGTAATCGTGCAAAAATCGATGTTTTAGACCTCCCTGAGTCGGAAAAACTTAATTTTGCAATCTTGTCTATGTGACTGTGTGTGTGTGTGTGTCTGTATGTCTGTCTGTGACACTATAGCTTGAGAACCGTTATAGATAAGTTGATGAAATTTCATATATCAGTATTGTATAGAATATGTAATTCTATATCAACTCAGTGATTTGATTTCTGGTAAATGTTAGTGGAACCTACTAAACTTTTGGTTTTTTTTTTTTAAATCCTATAATCTGTATACTGCTTTAAGTAAGATATAATGAATTTCCTATATTTTAGTAAAATATCTCATTTTCTATTTTCTGACAATTTCGAATAATTTCCGGTGAATGGAAGTAATACTTTACCCTATTTCCAATTTCTAAAAAAAACCGCATTAGAATTTATTTTAACTTGATTCCTCTGTCTTTGTTTATAAATAACTAATGTTCCGCACTATTATACACGGATTATTTGATGACCATTCGGTGTGCAATTCTTTTTGGAAAGATTCTCTTCTATTAATAAAAAAATCTCTCCCGGCGGAACAGATGTTTATTTCTCTAAAAGCGAATAAAACTAACAATAACACTGTCCCGTTGAATTATTTTAGTGTTTGGGGTAACACTATTAGATACACCTAGACAAACGACGAACTTAAAGGCTAGTGCCTGATTCAACAACCGAGCCAGTCACGGACTAAAACTCAGTATCACTTCCTCTTGGTACAGTTAAGTGTATTATGCTATAAATATTTATCAAAGATCTTACATGCAAAGAATAAAATGTTCTTATTAAAGTAGTTTTTCCTGAAAGACCAACATGCACCCTTTAGTTATTCAAGCAAATCAATTAATAATATTAGCAGTACTTCTAAACAACTGAGTTCATTTTACTTTTTCCATCTACAATAAATGATTGTTATGAAGTTATACTTTTTAAAAGAGGAACAGTTAATACGTTAGAAAGAGACAGTGAAGAATGTTTTTGACTAAGAAACATTTTACTTTATTTAACACATCGTTTTCTAACGAGATTTTGATTCTGGATTAACCATGGCCAATTAACTAAATATTTCTATTGCAAATAATGTGTCTTCTTAAATTTCCAAAATAAATAATATATTTACCGTTGTGATAAAATACCAGAATAACTGAGTTAAAAATAATTGTAAAAAACAGGTTATTCAGTACAGTTTACAATTGAATTTTCCCAAAGAACTAACGTAAAATAAACATATCAAATACCTGAACAGCGTTTTGTTCTCTTAATTTCATCAGTTGACTGAAGAGTTTTTGTAAAGACTCAAATTGTGAAAATCGTTTTGCCAGTACTTGACACATGGCTCCAGTCTGTACAGATATAAAAGTGTTAGTTTGGTTGTTACGGATATGTGGTTGTCTTTAATTTATAAGGGTTTATTAAGTTGTTACTGGGCTGTGAGTGTTTAAAATGTTACTAGCCATCAGTACCTGTTACACGTAAATTATACGCCTACATTTGTTTTTAATGTTATAGGCCTACTTGTTTTTGGACTATATTTCTTAAAATAGTTGTTGGTCAAAACGTTATGTTCTTTACACCACGTTGAACGATATTAGTGACAAATCAGTTAAATAACTAAATAGCTAAAATCCGACACATTTAATTTAACATAGGCTATCTTACCTTTTAGAAAATAATTAAAACGAAATTATATACATTATTAGTCTACACTTAGTCATACTAAATGCTCACACTGATCAATGACCTAAATGATTCCTTTAAAAACCAAGCAATTCAAGGATATTTTTGCTGTTTTTAAAATAGTTTTTTTTTTTGCCTGAGAAAATGTTATCAGTTTCATAGCGCACTTCTTCCTTAGTAGATTTATAGATTTAAATCAAACTTAAAATAAATAATTAATTTCTTAATTTCAAAAAGTGGAATATGTGGGCAGTAAATCATATTGAAGATGACATCATTCGTTTTTTTGTATCACTTTCGATATTAGAATTCAATTTGATATTTGTCCTAAGAGCAATGACTCTATAAGCGCTTTGTACTTTACGAAGTTTAAACTTTTTTATTTACATTGTTTTTAATTATATTTTTCTATTTATTTCAAGTGAAGATATTCTTTTTTGCCAGTAATAGTTTTAGTGCTACTAATATGCACTCTAGAGCGTTTTTGTCTAAGCAATAAACACTTTTTTCGGTTGCATAATCGAAGATCTGTTTCTATATTTCAACATTCATTCATTTTATTTTTCGTCTTTAAATAAAATTTAATTCATACATTTAATACATCATACATATTTCCTAAAAAGTCCGTATCTTTAAGTTTTCCATATATTGCTGAATGTACTGATGTAATAGCCTCGGAAAATACACTGCGGACATGTAAAGAGAGAGAGAGGAATGGGTGCGCCCATATGTTTTATATATAAATTAAGGGGATAATTTAAATGTTACCTATCTTAGCTTTCTATTTTCTAAATAAAGTTTTCTTTAAGAGATAATGTAATAGTCATCGTCTATTATTTTTAAGGGTTTAATTTCGAATGGACATAACAGAACGTGTTAAAGATAAGAATATATATCCACCTTTAATTCCCCATTTGTTAATTTTTCATCAGTTCTAGACAAACTTTCTGATATTTCTTGGACAGAAGTTTCATTATCATTTGTTTTCTTGACCAGATCTTTAGTGACCACACTTAACTCTTCTATGTGTTTCTTGTTGTCGCAGCTAGCTTCATTTATTTCTTGTATTGACGTCATCATTTGCCTCATGTTATCAGAATGTCTTTGTGTCGCGTTATATTGTTCTTCTACTTTTTCTGTCAACACATCCAAGTTTTTCTCTATTTCAGCTACCCTTCTGTCTTGTTGTTTTGATTTCTTTGCTTGAGATTTTTGCTTGCCTTCAAAACGTGTGAGTTTATCATTGACTGTGTTGATATTTTCTTCTATCTGGAGATATTTTCTTTCTAGTGAACTCGTTGTTGCGTCAGTGACGTCTAGCTTGTGTAGCAGAGACTGGATCTCTTCTATGGTCACTGGATACAACATGTAAAGTCCGATTTAAAATACAAAATATATTGATAAATTGATTAAAGGATGAAAAGAGTATAATTTAATTTAATTTTCAACCTATCATTTCTGTTTTAATTGTGTTTTATAATTCTTATTGCATCATATTACTGCGTTTTAAACATATAATTGTTATTATAATTTTTTGGGATGTTTAAAATCTATAGCATACAATACGTAATTTAAAAGAAACAAAACAATATGGATAATGCTATCTAAATAGCCGAATAATGATGCTATTTACTATTGTTAAAAAATCATAATGAATATCAGGTCGCATAGTGTCTAAATTCTAAAATCAAACATAATGTTACTACCACTGTAGTCTAATATATCACTCACCAAACTTGCTGCATGTTTTGTCCTCTATGTTGTATTGTTGTGACGGCTCTAGTGAAGCTACAACATTTGTTCTGGTGATTGGTGAGTTGGTGGAGGAAATGTTGGCTTCTGTCTGTCCTGAACTCTCTGATCCATACAGGTGGGCGCCTGATGTAAAGGTACATGATCGTTACGTTACCAAAAAATATCATAATGCGTATATTATAATTTATATATGCGTATTTTGCTACTTTAAGATGTTCAGATTTTCTTATTACTTTATGTTTAGAATTTTGCATTATAATATTTTGATTGTTTAAATAGCTATTATCTTTTTTCTAAGAGTTTATTCAACCGTGATATAATTTGACTCAACTAAATCATAGGTGCAGCCCCTCCTAACCCCCCCCCCCCCCAGAGGAAAGTCTACCTCACCCAAGAAAGAAATGGAATATATATAGAAAATATATACATTCAACAGTGTCCGACACCACCCCCCCCCCCCACCCGACCCCCGCCCTGAAATTTCAAGCGCTCCCCGAAGAAATAAGTCTGGAAAAAACACTGCATGTAGCACTGGCTTTAACAAAGCATACTTATAAACAAAAAGCATGAATAAATTAGTAACGTTACACCTAGTACCTAACAACGCCGACATTTGTTCTAATGTTGAACTATTTGTGTCCTCTAAGTGTAGCATCATTTCTTTAAAAGTTGTTCTGTCATCGTCTTTTAGCCAGCATTGGCATTCTGCAATGGTCTGTAATTAGACAAGTAATTAATTAAAGTGTCATTGAGAATGTGTTGCAATACTTTTAATTTAAAATATTTTATTAGTGAAGTAGTTTATTTAAGGTGTAAATAACAATGTTAACAATTAAATTAATGAAGACCTTTTAAAGAAAAACAAATTGTGTTTGACTTACTTGATTTAACGAGATTAACATCGGATTTATAACATCTCTCAGACTGTCCAGATGTTTTAGAAGCAGTGAAATAGTTTGTACCTGGTACAGTGGTCGCATCTAGTAAAAATCAACAATATAGGCTTATGTTAATCACCATACATTTGTACATAGACGACTGCTTGTATTTGATTAGTTTTAAAAAGTCGAACAAAAACCCAATCTTTTAATTGAAGAACGATGGAATAAAATATATTTTGACCTGCATTTAAAAATATACCTACAACTTACCTTATTGTGATGTCTTCTATAATAAAGGTTTATGTATTTGAATGTCTTCTTTCAGTGTTGTTTTGTTTGATGATTTGATAAAACACCACTTACTGTTTCGATTTCTTCAACTATAGTTGGAAAGAAAAGTATCAACGGGTTTTTCCGATATTATGTTTACGCATAGACTTGCCAGATTTTTAGAGATTAAATTAGACAAATTTAATTTATGCGTGCAACAGTTATGTTTTCCGCGACAGCACATTTAGATTTTCTTGTGATAACGCAACCATTGAAATTTACTTTTGGTATACAATTTTCTTTATTTTATTTAAAACATTTTAGTCTGTTAATTAAAAAAAAATCTTTTAAAGAACCACATCTTATGACTGCATACATGTGTTTAATCAACAAACAAGCTAATTATCATATTCTTCATTATAAATATTTGCGATAATAAATAAATTATGCAAAAATACATGTTTTAAATACTTATATTAACTGTTGCTTAACTTGTCAATGTTTTACCGGTTACTTCTCTTTAACCGTCACAAATCTCAGTGTTTTTGACTCCGTTTTATCTCGCCTACTCATTGATTAAATTTTTCATGTCACGCTTCTGCTTAAACCATACATCAGGGGCGGAACCAGAGGCTTAGCGACCCCTCCCGGCGCCGGGGACAAACGTTTCGATTTGCACCCCCCCCTCTCAAGATTTTGATTTGCACCCCCCCCCCCTCATAATTTCCATTTGCACCCCCCTCAAACTTTCAATTTCCACCCCCCTCAACCTTTCAATTTATTTTTCCAACCCATTTTGGCGCCCCCTAAGGTCGGCGCCCGGGGACATATGTCCCCCCCCGCCCCCCCTTGCTACGCTACTGGGCGGAACTACAGTGCCGCCAGATCCCACAATGCGGGAGGGGGGTAGGGCAGGCCGTTTGGGGCACACAACCGACCGTAATCAATTTTTTTATAGTGCAAAAAGAATTTTCTTGTAAAAAAAAAAAACATATGTACTACAGTAGTTATGTTCTACAGTGGCTAACACAAGCTGTTTCGTAAAAGAAAAAAATTATATATACATGAATAGTAGTGTGAAAGATAGGCAAACTTTCAAAGCACTTCCATGACTTATTTTGCTTGTTTAAATAGTCAAATATTTGTGCTCTTAACAACCTTTTAATAGATTTGCACTAAATAAATTAAGAAGCCATAACTTCTCTTAATTATTTTCTTAAATACGTAATAAAGAATGACATAGTATAAAAAGGAAATGTATTTAAAACTAATAATATAAAAAAATCAACATAAAAATAAACATCAGGCGAAAACCATTCCACAAACAAAGCTTTCATGCTTCATATTCTTTTGACCGACTTGTAATTTAGGAAGTATCATGTTACACATTAAACCATAGGATTTCAAAACAGACTAATATCACTCACATAAATAACGTGTTGTAGTAACACTTTTTAATTAAAAAAAACAATTAAGAATTAATAATTTTTTAAAAACTCAAATCAGCCCGTTTTGAGTATTCTATGTTCGCATTTTCATATTTTGTTTGTATATATATATATATATATATATATATATATATATATATATATATATATATATATATATATATATATATATATATATATATATATATATATGTGGGGCCCAAATTTGTTTTTTTGCGGGGTGTCCCTTTTTCTAGTTCCGCCACTGCCACACCTCCATCAAACATTCCACATGTAATGTTTTTTTGAATCTTCTATAATAGCAGTCTAACATACAAAGAAACATAAACCACACCTCCATCAAACAATCTAAAGTACTTTAGCAACAATAGTAATAGTTGGAAAATTCAAACAAACAATTACAACATTTAGACAAAACAAAGATTTACTTCAAACATTTTTTCTTACATTTTTCATTTTTTAAATAAAAATGTTAATCAAACTGTTTATCTCATTCAACTGTTGTCGTGTGTTCTTCATTAAACTGAATTACGACCTTTTTTAAAATAAATATCAACATTAATGTAACATGTAATATTTTTTGAATCTCCTAATAACACTATTCTTTTCTTAACACTTTCTACTTCAGCATATTTTGTACCGTTGCCCCTGAAACAGGTTGGATTACATCCGGAGACTTTTTATAATAGTAATATTCTTCTAATTACCAGCAACTTTGAGGATTACACATTGTGTCAGGGACGTCGAGGGGCGCTCTCGGGAGCCCCTGATTACACTAACGCAGAGGCGCCACGTACGGCCCCTGGCTACAACTAACGTAGGCGCCATAGTGCTCAATGAAAAACCCAGAGCGCAAAATAGCATCCGGAGACAATGATGCAGATTGCGTCAATCGCTTAAGTGACAAAAATCAACAGTATTTTTTCTTTAGCATGTAGATAAAATGAATATTTCACATGTTATAAACATCAGTGTGGCTGATGCGATTTTTTTAGCGTTACTAATGGTGTATTACTAGAAGCTCTGATTGGATCGTTTAAAAATAGATGCTAATTGCATCATTCGCAAAGTGACGAAACTGTACAGAAGTGTACCTTTTTATTTTGATTTGAGTTGCACATCTAAACTTAATTTTTTACGGAAATATTTTCATTATTTTGAGAACTGTAAGCTTTGGAATTGTTTGGATTTTTTACGGGCAAAAAGAAACAACCAAGTGTAAATAATATAAACTTTGTTAATTTTACTGATTTAAAGGAAAAAGGTATTACAGCAGCCCGCGTGAGCCTTTGGGGTCCGAAACTGAAATTTTTGTTTGCAGCCATATCACATCCTTCCACATCTACCGCACTGTTTAGAGCTACTTAGGTGCCATTGCGCGCACGGAAAAGCCCAGGGCGCCACATTTGAACATTGCAGGGGCGCCGGGGGACGCGCCTGGTTCGATATAGTCACTGATTATTGTTGCCTATCGTATCTTTAGTGTATAGTTTTTAATGAACATAGGCGCCATAGTGTTCGCAAGGAAAGCCTGGACGCTTTGGGTCTTGCAATCTACGGGGCGCCGACGGTAGAGCCTCTTGAAGTTTAAACGCTGAGTATAGTATTACTCCTTACCCGCTAAGCAGGGCGCACGATTAGCGGATGAAAAATTGTGTATTGACGAAATCAGACCCTTGCAGGCGCCACCAATATCATGTTTTTGTTATTTTGTTCACAGAAACTTTCTCGTGAGTATTCTCATCAACTCCCCAGAGTTTCATGGCAAACAGATGAAAGGTGTCGAACCGCAGCCGACTTTTATTTTATATAACGTGTATAGAGAAAAATCGAATCCTCCTGGGGCGCCGCCCTTGCCAAATTAAAAAAATATGTTTTTAGCAGAATCCTTCCTTGTAGTGTTCTAATCAACTCCCCGATGTTGAATATCGATCGGATGAACGGTGTTAACCTGCAATCGACTTTTATTTTTTATATACCGTAGGCCTATATAGAGAAAAATCGCTCCCTCCCGTGTCGCCGCCCTTGCGAAATTAAAACTTTTTTTCTACAGAACCCTTCCCCGGAGTGTTCTAATGAACTCACCAAAGTTTGATGGCAATCGGATGAACGCTGTCAAACCAAAATCGACTTTTATTTTTATATACCGTATATAGAGAAAAACAAATCGCGCCCTGCTGGGTCGCTACCACTGCGAATCTGTAATTTTTTTTTCGCAAAAACCTCCCCATGAGTATTCTCAACAACTTTCCAAAGATTCACGGCGATGTGTTGAGAGGTTTAGTATTGCATAAAAGACACAAAGACAGATATACATTGCTTTATATATATATATATATATATATATATATATATATATATATATATATATATATATATCTCAAAATATCTCAGACAAAATATCACACGGACAGATGATATCAGGACAAATGATCTTAGGACAAATGATCTCAAGAACAAACAAGAAAGAAAGATACCAGAGCAAAATATATCAGGACAAACGATATCATTGAAAATTGATATCAGACACAATATCTCAGACAAAATATCTCACAGCAGAATTTTAGTAGTATGTACGATGATTTTAGTTGATTTGATCTAGTTTGTCCACCTGAAACGGCAGTAATTATCTCGTGTTTGGCAAGCCCACCTACGCTGTCTATAAAAAAAAAATTATTTAATGTTCGCAGACTAATCTTAATTTCAAAAAGTTTAGTGCAATATAACAAATTCAACGGCAAACTTTCTCACAATTTTTATATAGTCCTATAAACAATATTAAACATAGTAAACAAAACAATAGGACACTCAATTAAAAAATGTTCACTGGGCAGGTGAAATAGATTTCACCTGTTTCTGTAACCTAAGAATATGAATGGATAGTGTAGTCAGACCCATGCTAAGCCGAAATCGGTGTTTTTGAAAGGCAAGAAACATGTTGTCTGAGGTATGACGTCTTTTTGAAAGTGGGATCTGACTTTTTGTCCACCCACACATGTTTGCTTAATTCTTCTATAATAGCAGTCCAACATACAATCTTATGTAAACCTTATATCCATCGATCACATGTTTGTTCACATTCTAGAAAATACAGACAACCAACAGACGCGATGTTATTTTTTACAATCTAGAAAAGACAGACATCCAACAGACACTATGTTTATTTATAAACCGATAACTATAAGTATTAGTCTGACCACAATCCACTATAATTTAATCCATTAAAATTAGGGTTATAGTTAACTTTACTGTGTGAATAGTCCGACCTGAATTTGCTGTCTTCCATATACGCAACGTGCTCTGAAGAGTGCTTGTTAGTGTTCCAGTCATCCTGCACCTCCTGAGAGAGAGCCCCACTGTGTGAATGGTCCGAACTGAATCCTAAGTGTATGCATTTTACCATAGACCAATCGTAATATGAATAGAGCTTGTTAGTGTTCCAGCCATCCTGCACCTCCTGAGAGAGACCCCTACTGTTTGAATGGTCTGATTTCAATCCTGTGTCTTTTTTTTCCACATTTCCACCGTACTCTGAACAGTAAATGTCAGTGTACTTGTGCCAGCCATCCCAGACATCCTGAGAGAGAGCCCCACTGTGTGAATGGTTCGACAACCACCGA